AGAATACAGTGTAGCAAATGTATACACAGACAGCCAAGCAACCATCAATGGTATAGAAAAGACCATGAAGGAAGACAAAAACAAGATTATAAAGAAACAAAAGAATTCGAACCTCCTTCTCCAGATCCAAACCACATGCAAACAAAGAAAAATCAAACTCGCACTACACAAGGTGAAAGGTTACTATGGAATCAAATACAATGAGATGGCTGATCAGTTGTCACAAATAGACGTATGGAAAGGTATGAAGCCAGGAGAGAATGAAATTGAAATTAAGAGAATCAAAGATCCAGAAATGAGAATAGCCCCACTATGGAACAACCACTTCACTGAACTTTCCATAAAACCAATCCCACAAAAACTTACAAATACCATCAACTTGACAAAATGGCATCTCTTGAATAGAACTAGATGCAACTTTTGTGAACGAATAGTTAAAGAAATCAACTGGCAAACAACAGTAACATATCTCCAATCTACGAAAATGAGTAATCACTATACAAACAATAAATATCAAAAACTAAGGAAATTCTGTCTCAACCTCTGAAATGATGAATTACCAACCAAATGCAAGCTGAATACAAGGCTTCTATCCATTTACAAAAACAATAAATGCAACAAATGTGGCGAATCAGAAACATGCATCCACCCTTTTTTCTGTCAGCAACTCAGAACAGAAACAGAAACAGCTTTAAAAGATATAACCTTAATTTGCATAGAGAGTCACACAAAGGAAAAAGAGCTGCAAGTTTTCAATACACACTTCTCAAACAAAAATAACCTGAACTTTAAGGAATACTTAATAGCAAATATTAGAGGAGCCATTTTCAAAAGACTTACATATAGCCTCAAAACAGCTATTCCAGATAGAATTGAAAGGAAAATTTGCATAACAGAGATCTGCCTGGGAATAATCAAGTATCTCTATCAAATCTGGCAAAGAAGATGTGAAATCTTTCAAGAATGAAAAGCTAGAGAAGGAATCACCAAACGAAAAAAAAGGTCAGCAAAATACGAGTCAAGAAAAGAAGACCCCTTCTTCACAGCCAGGGAAATACACATAAAAGATCAATTTGTATACTTGGTCAATGAGTTTATGGATTAATGGATCACAAACCTTATAGAAAACTTTTACATATTTGAAATTTCTTTCAGCACTAGCCCAGCCTTGGCAGGTTAGCTCCCCACATCAGGGGTGGCAACAAGTTACAAGGTGAGTACCTCTGCATATAGGAATTCTATTGAGCTCTATTTAGTAGTAGACAGGTAGTACATCCTAGAATAATACCTATGTATTAATACTACAAAATTACAAATAAAGCAAGGCTGAGCTGAGCCAGCGTTAAAAAAAAAAAAAAAAAAAAAAAAAAAAAAATTGTTGAAGAATTTTGATTCAGTTCATGGCTGATAAGAGACTATCAAGATTGACTGAGTCATATACTTTGGAAATATCAAATGAGGCTATCCAGAATTTTTCCATTAAATTAGTCGAGGTGTTCATTAGGTAGTGAATGATAGAGATGGGCTCCATAGTATTTTGATCTTTAGTGCCTGCATAATTTGATTGCGAGAAAATATTATTATCAGCAATAATGGATGATATTCTTGTATTAAGTATCTTTGTAAAGATCTTGTGGCTGGTTTCAATTAAAGCGATTGGCCTGGTGTCCAAGAGGTCATGAAACCATATTAATTTTTTAGGAAGTAGAGTGATAACTGATTTTTTCCAGGATGTTGGGATGTGACCAGTTTTGAGAATTTTATTTAGAAACTTTCCAAATATCTTTTGGGCTTGTGAACTGATATGTTTCCAGGTTTCATAGGGGATTTTAGTAAGGCCAGGTGCTTTGTTCAGAGAAAAAGATGAGATTGACTCTTCTATGTCATTTTGATCAATTGTTGTGAATGTAGTGTAATATAAATGAGTAGGTATTTGATCAATGGGGCTATAGTCAGGGAGTCAATTTTCACTGATAGAAAACTTTTTGGGTGTGAGAAGCTTGTGATAATGATTGATTATAATTTCATCAAGTGTATCTGGATCATCTTGTAGTTGAGAGCTATCATGGAGAATAGATAGGTCTAGGGATGGCTTAAGATCATTAAACGCTATTGAAATATATTGTTTGAATCTTTTCCAAAAGTTTGAATAGTTTTCTTTAACTCGAAGTGATATTTGTTCGGCCATATGTCAGCCATTCTTTTTTGTTTTTCTGATATTAATGCTTTAAGGGTTTTTTAATGGTCCCAATTGTTGGAGGGAGACTAGATATTTTTTTGTGAAAGAACTTTGCTTTACTAGTGAGAATGATGTTGGAAGGCTTACTTCTATTTTTGCTGATAAAACTTTTCAATTGCTTGATGGCTTGGTTAATGTCAGGAAATAATTATTTAGGTTTTGTGAAAAGTTGTTGCTTTTTTGTTGAGATGTTAGATTTTAGGGCATTTTTGATTATAAGTTCAAATTGGTGCCATTTGGAACACGATTCTGTTTCCAAGGCTATGTTAATATCCTCGATTAAGGAGTTTAATTGTTCCTTTGTTGCCTTGTTAAATAGGTATATTTTTGTTGAGTAAAAAATTCTTTGTGGTTTGTACTCGAACCACTGAAGGATTATTGTAATGTCTTTATAATCTGTCTTGATATCGCTGGAGTCAGATATATGATAATTTAGGATCTTATTAATAATTATATATTTTTTGAAACAAAAATTAGTTCTTTAATTAAAAAGATTTTGAAAAGAAAGTAGATCTATGGAGATAAATAAAATATATATAATTGTTAATAATCTGTTTATAAAAATTTATATAATATAGGTTTATATTTTTTTAGATAAACAAAGATTTGAAAAAAATACAAAAAAAAACTAATTAATCTTATTAAAAAATATATAGGCAATATTATTATACAATAGTAGTAAAAAACTTCAATATAGTATTCAAATTATTAAAAAATAGACTATTATTTTTTTAAGTAATGTTTAAATTATAATAGAATTTAGAAATTTCTTTATTTAACTTTTTAGATAAATAAGACTTTATTAATATACAAGTTATATAAGAAGATAAAGAAAAAATCTAACAATTGATAATAGAATAGGCTATATTTGAATATTATATAGTATTAAACTATTTATTACTCTGATTAGATAATTAAAATATAAAAACATTATAATAAGAGATCATATTAGGATTTTAATTACTTTACATAAAAAAATCTTTTATAAGAAATAAAATTACCAAAATCTTTACATATAAGCAAAAACAAATTAATATAAAAGAAATATCTTCAATATAATAATAAATCTTTTAATAAAGTTAAAATCAAAAGCTTAAAATGATATTAAAATCTATACTTCAAGAAAATTCTAGTCAAAATAAAGAAGAGCCCAAGCAAATAGACTTTGAAAAACCTTTGAAAAATTGGTATGTAAAGTAATCTTCAATAAACTTGCAACTAGGAAATCAGATCCATATAAAGAAAATAGGCACAAATATAGTTTAAAATTTATTAAATATAAAAACGCATTGCAACTTAAAGAACTCTTCAATAAGGTAGAGGTATCAAAAGATATATCAAACTATAGATTCTTAGTTCAAATATATTAAAACATAATACTATCTACAAACCTAATCATCAGATTGAAAATCTTTGTATCTAATACAGCATCTTCAACATGTCTTAAAAGTCTCTAAAAAGAATATTCAAGATACAATAAAAGACATAAAATTAATATATCAAAAATTGAAAGTCAAAAAAAAAGTAAGAGATATTCAAACTGCTCTGAACCAATAGTGTAATTATTTAAGAAGCAATCAAAGTCAGATAGTCAGTTTTTTGACAAATTAAGTTAAAAATAAAATATTACTTGGTAGGATCAAGATCATGCAATGTACGTAATATCAAATATATAATAATACAAAAAAGTAAAATTGAAAAAATGTAAAACAATAATATCATCAAAAAGCTTTAAAAGAAAAAAAATCAATTACAATAGTATATTAGAAGATTGAAAAGAAAAATAATTTGAAGGAATAGAATTTGGTTTTGAAGCAGAAGGCTTATGAAAATAATTTTTAAATAGCTTAAAACACAATATAATCTTAAATTCTCTAAGTGACATATAAAAATGAAGACTCTAGACTAAGTATGGCATATACTGTATACTTGCAGTATTGGATTTGTTTATTCCAATTTCATTTTTTTTTTCCAAATAACAAGCGAACTTTTTTGATTCCTAGCGTCTTCTTATGTTGTTTCCTTATGTAAATGCTCTAATAGTCCATTGTATAATTGTGTCCGAGCAATTTTATCTATACATCTAAACCCCGAAAAATTTACTTGAATAGCTAAATTTCTTAATGCTAGATTGTAACGCCTGATAAAATAAACAGACTAGGCTTTGTGTTGTATCTGAAAAGTTCGATACTCTTGGTTACCATATAGTAACTCTTTTGTTAAACCTTGTTCTATATGCTAAATTTTTATGAGCTCATTTCATCCTAAGCGCGTGGCAGAAATTTCTCGACATTTTTTTTTTGACATCTAGCTTTTAATATATTAGGTGTCAATGGATTCTCCGTTTATAATACTGAACTACATGATTTTAGTCATAAAATTAGCTCTCTTTGCCGAGTTCAATGTTTGGGTAATTTCGAAATTAGGCTTGGGGTTTAGTTCTCTTAATTAATCAATGGATTGATTATTTGACATCGTTTTATATAAACTGTGAATACATTTAAATGCCTCGCTTAATTTCTATATACTGTATAGTAAAAATTTGAATCACGTGTACAATTATTTTATTAAGAAATTATTGTTTCCTTTGGGAACGGTTTTCCAAGAAATTTAATTATTTTCCGATGCACACTCCATACCATTTACATGCATACATATGGTTTAGGATTTCAAGCTCAAATTGTATATTTCTTATAAAGGGAAACATTAAACCTAATTCAAGATAACATGAGGGTATAAACTACTCTTTTTTAAACAAATACTATAATTTCAGGTCAATTTCCAGGGCATATTGCCTAAGACGATTAATCCAAGGTGGATTATTCTTAAGAACAGTTCTCTTTGTTGTATAAAGAACCTGCTCTCGATAAGAACTATATATTTCCTTCGGTACTACAAAATAAAATTTGATATCTGAACTATTATTATAGTTAATATATTTTTCCAATCCACTCTTTATAATAGGATGACTCTCGGAAACTGTCATCTGGAAGAATGTGTCGGGAAAAACGAATGCATCAAAAGACGCATCATTCTTTTGAGTTGGAATACAGTACATGTTAGGAACAATCTCACTAATGTCACTGAACAGCAGTTTGTTCCGAGTAGGTATTGATAGATTTGAATTATTAATCCCGAAGTAAGAGAAAGTTGATGAAAATAAAGGGCGAGCTCTAAACGTTCCTCCTTTTATTAACTTTCTGTGAGCGATCCGCTTAAATATAGCGCCCCTGAGTGAACTGTAATCACTTGTTGATGATGAGCTAGCTTTCACGAAATTCTCCAACTGACTTCTATAATTCTTTATGAGTTTATCCGTCACCTCTTCAGAAACGTAATCTGATGCAAACTCTAGAGTTGACATCGAATAGAAGGGTTTTCCTTTCCCTATAACACCTTTCCTTTTATCTGGTCTAATTACTGCGGGAGATTTTGACGTAGAAGACTCTCCAGGATTATCCTCTTCCATTATTTCCACATCTTTTATACCTTTCCTTCCTTCACCTCCTTCCTCTTCTCCTTCATCCTCTACTTTTGGTACATTAGTGCAGATATGGACAATTTTATGACTGTCACTATTATCATCTGTGGTTTCGCCAACAAAACTTATTAAATTATTGTTAACTGAGTTAATTGCCATCTGAAGAAGATCTTGCTGAGAGTCATTGAGAGCACAAAACAAGGTAAATCGAGGAATTCCACCCCATTTGTTGTATAATTTCCGAACTTCTCTTTGACTAAGATGAGAAAAAAGCCTAATCCTGCATGCATCAATCTCTTCCCAAGACCATACCGGCATATACCGAATAGTCGTTCCACGCTTATCAAAATTCTTGTAGTGTCTTTTCTGGGGCGAACATACAAGAATTGTCTTGGCGAGATATTCCATCGGTTTCCTACCATCCACGATATACCAAGTTTCCTCATGTTCCAAGTAATCTGAGAATGCATGAATATTGTCTTTGATCTGACGGAAAACCCCTTCCTCACTAAAGAGAATCGGAGGCATGTCGAGTTTGTGATATACAACTGTTTTACATTGCTGCGAAAGGAGATAAAGTAGGTAATACCCGAAGAAGGTTTTCCCAATTCCCGGATTGCCGGTAATACGCCAACGATGAATATTTTCATTCTCGAAAATAATATCACTCAGGTGGTAATAACATTCACGGATGAAAAGAGTAGAGATATTGGAACCTTGTTCATCTTTGCCTAGAAGATAGTAAACGTCCATGGGTAACTCAAGGAACTGGTCATTATTATGCTTTTTCACTTTCCCATCCTTCAAAGAATTCCAAAACCTTTCCAGTCTTTTATCATCGTTACCGTATTTTCTTCGGTTACTAGGGGATTCTATATACCAAAAATCATTAAAGTAATGAAATAAAAAATAAAGGCCATCAAAAATCAAGCCAAGACGCGTTCATTTCATGACCAAATTTATTACTACTTATCGAAAACGGATTGCTCTACGATAACGTTAATGTATTTTTTGGACGGTTTAACGAAAGAAAAGCACAAGAATAAAAATATTTTGTATTGAAGAATATAAAAGCGCATGCACGAAAAGTTTGAGTACCTTCTTGAATGTCCTTAATCAAATTTACAATTTTTGCGGAAGCTCCGAGAGGTATTCCATAAACTTTAAGACCTTCAAGTGTTAAATAAAAAAAGGATGATCCATCGACTTTTTCAGCAGTTAACGCGTCTATCTGACTGTCAATGTCGTTTAATCTCCTTTTCAAAAATCTGTTAAGTTCTTCGGAATTAAGTCTTTCACTTCCTCGACCGTCGGAAGGTCAGAAATAACATGAGAACTTGTGGAAGAACCTGCAACATTAAATGACATAACTTATCACGACTAAAAAGGTGTATTAATGTGAAAAAAATAATGCTATGTATATACTGCATAACAAAATTTCTAGAATCTGCTATTCCACCATCATTTTATTATCTATTCTTATTTTTTAATTTTTTTATATTACGACAATTATCAAAATTTTTTTATTACGTAATTCAGTGTTAATATTTTTTCTTGCTTGTATTATACTGTTTATTTTTGAATTAATTTTTATTTTTTTAACCCTCAATCATGCCACCATGGTACGCTTTTAATGCATTAACTAGAAAATTACATAAACTATTCATACAACAGCCAATTTGGTATTATATATTATTAGTTAAAGGATTATACTGCTTTAAAAATATGAGTTCACTAAGCTAGTTCAGATTAAACAAAACAAATCTCAATTAGCTACTTTATGATATATTTATAAAACAATGTTTTATTCCTTTGATAGATTATTGTTAATAAACTTTATTATCAAAATTGTTGTCAATAGTTTTTTACTATAGATTATCCTGAAAAATAATAATTAAAAAACTAAAAAAATAAGAGGAAAATAAAAATAAAATAAAACAATTAAATATTTCTTCAAAAGGTTCTTCTCTCATTCCAGCTAGCAATCTTTTCTCAAAAAAAAATCTAATTGATTAGAATATTCTTTTTGCTTTAATCTATTTGAAAAACTTTTTATTCTTATTTATACTTTTTTAAAAACATCAAAAAAAAAACTATTCTTCTATTAATATATAATATTTTCATAATTAAAATTATATTATAAGAAAATTATTTCTTGGAATAAATAAAACCTTTCAAAAACATATATAATTAGAATTAAAACTGAAAATTTTTAATTTTTTTTTTTAGAAAAGCTTTTTAATTACTTGAAAAAATTAATAAAAAATAGTAATTAATCTTTTATAATCTTTTATTTACCTTTTAATATTACAGTTATTCTCTTTAAAACTTATTCAATTAAAAAATATTTTACAAAATTTTCTTTCTATTACTTATATATTATTAAATATATAATTATAATCAATAGTAATTTGTTTATATTTTAAAAATTATGTTTTATATTATTAATTACTTATAATAAGTATTTATTTATCAAAAATTGGTAGTAAATAAAGATATATAAATTTCTTAAAAATTATGTAAACATAAATTTTAAGGAATAAAAATAATAAATCTAAACTTTTTATTATTTAACATCTTAACTATAATTTATTTTAAATATTTGATAATATACAATTAATCTTTTTTTATTAAATAAATATTTAAAATTTTTATTTATATATTATTTATTTAAATAATTGGTAATATATTTATTTTTTTTTATTAATATTTATAGCTAGACTAGATAGTAGTTTATTAATTTTTTAAAAAAAATAAAGTATATATTCATCAGAATAGAAAGAAATATAATATAATTAATTATTTATATTCTATCTAACAAACTCATATTATATATAATAGCCTTGAAGTTTGATCTTGGAAACAATATTTAGTTTTAATAAGATTTTGAATAAATATCCTTTTAATTCTACTATTATTATCAATAGTTTATCATTGTCATATATTCTAATAAAACACTGATTAATAGAAAACTATATAAGAAAAAAAAATATGAAGAAAAAAGTGGGATTATATAAAAAATATATAAATGTATTACAAAAAAATAAAATAAAAAATAAAAAATAAAAATAAAATCCAGTTCTTCTAAAAGATTAATTTTCAGATCTTTTCTTAATAAATAAACTTCCTTAAAATATTCTTTCTTTTTCTAACTGCATAGAGAGCTTATGTATTAATAGTTTCTTTTTTATTATCTTTCAAACTATTGTATATTTCTTTAATATTTACTTTTAAGTCTTATACTAGTTATTTAAGAATTGTTTATTTGCATATCCAAAGATTTATTGTTTTAATTATCACTAACCTAGAAAAAAGTTGATCTTAAAAACTTCATTAGCTTTAATAATAGGAATAGAAGGATTCTATCTAAAAAAAATAATAGTCTGATAATATGTTGTTCAAACCTTATTGATCTATAATATTAAAGTTGAATAAATTTGATTAAAAGAGAAGTGAGGACTAAAGAATCATACAACTCTTTTTATTATCAATGTTATTATCAAAATATATGAGATAATTGATAAATACATATTTATATTTAGCTACTAATATATTTTATATCAACTAATCATATTTTGCAAAATGACCTATGGGTCCATAGTGCAGTGGTTAGCACTTCGTAGGTCACATTATAAGAACTGTAATCAAATTCTCCAAGGGGTAACCTCTGACAAGCAAGTAGTGATCAGCATTCATTGGCATAACCATATAATAACTGATGTTTCTAAGTATAACTTGTCTCACAAAGAATAGTGTTTCAAGTCAGTTCTATACTGGATTGTAATGAGACTGAATATTTAAAATTGAGTAAGATTATCACTTGAAATGACCATATTACTAAACAAGGTAATAAGAAGTGTAGATATTGAATCAGTAGCATACTATTGAAGGAAGGAATGGTAAATCAACCAAAACAACCCGGTTCCCCTGCCTTATAGAATTGAGGCATTCGTTCAAAAATTCAAGTATGTGGCTGTGCTAGTCTTTCACAGACTTTACTATAGGGAGGCCTTAGTGGGAGGAGAAATCTGTGGACTACTCCAAAGGACTTAAAAATAACTGAGAAGTCCAGAATAAAGAAAATTCGATGGTCTGATAACCAGACTACTCTTACTATAAATAAAATTGTTATGGGAAAAATTAAGAAGGAATTACACATCTTTCCAAATAGGTAGTAGTTATATATAGAGGTAAAATAGCTATAGTTACTCATATAGATAGGTTTACTTCATATATGTATAATTACTTATTGACTATATATAAAAATTTGTACAAGCTTGGATTACTTGTATGGTATATATGCTAATAAAAGATGTAGAACAAGACAATCAAATACGCCAATACAATCAAATGGAAAATAATAACTGACAAACAAATCTGATACCTTTACAATCAAGTCTAGACACCAATAATTACATATCTGCTTTCAGACATGATCTTCACAAAGCCCAACTGTGACAAGATAATGAGTATCTTCAACACAACCTACAAACAAAAACTCCACTTAGCCCAATCTGCACCAAACTCTATATTCTTTAATCCAATGGAATATGAATTCTTCCATCTTTGGGACAGGCAACTCCTATTGCATGTAAACAACTGGCATAAAAGAGTCAACAAACAGGACCTAATAGGAAAGATCACAACTATGCACTTACAAGAACTTCAAAATAGATGGTGGTCTACCAAAATCATTACAAGTACCCACTTCACAAGCACCTTCCTCCCACAAGGTCATGAATTAACACATGACCTAATCTACCTTCTCAGACAAAATGGATTCACATGCATCAACTTTAATCTACAGGTGACTAAAAAGACAGACACAACAATAGAAGAAGTAACAGATCCAGGCTGGTACAACAAACATCGAAAACAGTTAGCAAACAACCAAATTCTCTTTATCAATCAAATTACTAACTATACAGAATCACGTCTGGCTACTTGGATGGAGATCACAACCCTTAACAAAAAATCCAATAGAAAGAAACCAACATGGTTCCAGGAGTTTCAACAAAAACAAGAGATAGCCAGATTAATACAGAATAGATACATAAATAACAATGACACAAAAAAAATTTACAGGCTAGCAATAGAAACATCAAACCAGAAGATCAAATGGATCACTACAATACAAAGAGCCAAAAGTATCATTTGCAGGAAAAAAGCTATTACCAACAATACTATCAAATTGCAGTATTACACACGCATTACCAATAACTCACTCCTCCAGGAATATTAAGAATGCACCCTCAACACCTCTGAAAAACAAGGGGAATACATATTTTTCAAGGAAAAAAACAGTCTCATCTGTATCCCAGTATATAAAAGCAGAACTATCTTCAGAGACACATCTAGTAACAATTTCTGTCAACGCAGCAGAATCTTATCTGACAGCCTAAAATAGCTCCTCTCAGACAAACTAATTCATGACAAACTCCCACCTTCTCCCACCATCGACAACAACCCTCTAACACACAACAAAAAACTCATAAAAAAATTCATAGATACAATAGAAAGCACACTCACTGAACTGGCCACCATTTGACAAACAATCCACAAACTCAAAAATATCACACATATACTGATGGCTCCTTGAACACAGACTACAGAATGGGCTTTGGATGGCACTTTACCCAAATCCCAGGAATCAACTTCAAAGAGAAAATATGCAATTACTCTTCCTTCACAAGAGCTGAATTAGCTGCCAACGCATCATTCTTAATGACAGCTCCTGCAAATAGCAACATTACAATATGTAGTGATAGTCAAGCAATACTCAATGCTATCTTCAAAGCTCAAGGAAACCCAACCACTATCAGAACACTTAAAAATAGCACTCTAGTCAATATAATCAACCATATTACTAAACAACAAAGACTTAATATAATATGGAAAAAAATCAAAGCACACAACAATAATCCAGAAAACAACAAAGTAGACATGCTCACCAAGGAGACAACTATTATAGGCAAAGTCTCAGAAATAAATTTTATTTCTATAAAAAATAGCCAGAACCCATGGATCCAAAAGTGAAATAGGCAAGTCTTAGACAACACAATATCAGAAACTGCAAGAAACCTCATCAAAGCAAGGCATATCTTTAGTTAGAGAATGCTAGACCACAACTTAAACTCAACAAACAGCAACACACTACAAAGTATAGCATAGGCAGAACCAATGATCCACAAATCTCCATCACAAATAATAACTTATGTAACTAACAAATTAGATTACAACACTAGATCATTCAGACTTAGACTAGAACTGCCAACCAAAAACAAGCTACACAAAAGGGCAGCAACAATATACAAAGACAACCTTTGCATCAACTGTCAGCACATCGAAACCAATACTCATGCAATGAT